ATTGTTGGTTGATGATCTTGAATGGAGAAGCAATAGCTTACGGTGATGGTAACCCGGCTCCGCTCATGCCCAAATCATTTTCCAAAATTTTTTGGTACACACACAACCAAAATGAGTCGTTTGATTGATTGGTGCCAATAGCCAGATATTTAGAGATAGAAACCCACCCTTTGCACAATGCCTCATCTTCTTGTGGTTTCCAATTCACACCTCTTTGGGGTTTTGGGGCCATTCTCAATAAGAATGAATGTAGAATAAAAAAATATATAACAAAGGGAGAAAGGTAAAAAATGATTTTTGGTGGATTATTTACCAAATGAATGGCTATTTATGGAGTTTGGAATAAGTTTTGGGGTTAGATCTAATTTAGATTAAGTATAAATATTATTTTAATGATTGGATTTAAATTTTACTTGTTGGATGTGAAATTTTATTGTTCAGATTGCCTAAATTTAATCATAATGTCAAAATTCCTATTATGACATCTCTAGATTATGTGATTCAATTTGATGAAATTGCAAACGTTCTTGTTTCAATTTCCATCCAATACTTTGGCCAAAGATTCACGAATCATATCTTTAGAATATTCTCTCTTCTTACTAAGAGCAAAGATTCCTTATTGTACATTCACTTGTCTTTGCATACATGTTGAGAATCCTGAGGAACACCTTTAAGTTACATCATTTTGATACAACCGTATAGTGCTCTCAAAGAAAAACAACATATACACAAGACAATTGAGATGTCTCAAGTCTAAGGATTAATTTGCATTATCACAACTTAGAATTCTTTGTTTGACACTTGTGAATAAGACTTCCATACATGAATTCTAGAGCTGATCGCCTTTAGTGGACTCCATCTTCTATAGAGCACCTACATATCTATCTCAGTGTCTCTACACGAATGACTTGAGACTAGTCATCCTCCCAATTGAGCAGACATAATGTGTACCAGTCTTTGCGGGTCATCATTGTCCAATTTGTGATCCTATGACCAGGAACATTTTAGGATACGATATTCATATGTATGGAAAGGTCTCGTGCACCTAACTTCTTTAGACCACTTTCCATTTATATCTTAATTCATGGACTTGTTACTTTGTGTACGTTATGTATCTAAAGCAACCTTCTTGCCCATTTGATTATTATATATTATTTTCTTAGAATTATCCATTTTTAGATTGGCTTCTAGGCATATATCAAACAAAAAATGGGTACTCACCACATTTTCAAGATTGGAGCCACTCACATGCCTTGCATTGGCCTTTGTTATACATGCCTTCCATAGAGAACATTGTTGGTTGATGATCTTGAATGGAGAAGCAATAGCTTACGGTGATGGTAACCCGGCTCCGCTCATGCCCAAATCATTTTCCAAAATTTTTTGGTACACACACAACCAAAATGAGTCGTTTGATTGATTGGTGCCAATAGCCAGATATTTAGAGATAGAAACCCACCCTTTGCACAATGCCTCATCTTCTTGTGGTTTCCAATTCACACCTCTTTGGGGTTTTGGGGCCATTCTCAATAAGAATGAATGTAGAATAAAAAAATATATAACAAAGGGAGAAAGGTAAAAAATGATTTTTGGTGGATTATTTACCAAATGAATGGCTATTTATGGAGTTTGGAATAAGTTTTGGGGTTAGATCTAATTTAGATTAAGTATAAATATTATTTTAATGATTGGATTTAAATTTTACTTGTTGGATGTGAAATTTTATTGTTCAGATTGCCTAAATTTAATCATAATCGTTGATGTATAATATAGCTGTTGCATTTTTGAAAAAAAAAACAACAACAACACAGCTTTTGAAATTTAGCTGTTGGATTCCAACGACTCTCTTCAATGAAATTGCCAGTTGTTGCGCAAAAAAGATGCTAGCCAGACAGCTTTGCTGTCACATGGGGCCCAGCTCTTTTTCCTCTTCACATGGGCTTCCAAACAGAGCTTTGGGCTCCACATAAAATACCAGTCCATGCAAAACCCAAATTTCACATTTCTCAAATTTCCACCCCCCAAAATACATGGTTGGAGAAGAATTTTTGACTCAAAATTGAAAATTTGGGTTTCCATCCCAATGGTTGGAGATGGTCTTATAACGACTATACTGATGTTATGGCCCAAATGAACCTAGTTTCTTTGAAGATCAATTTTTTTCAGCAGATCACTTGATAAATTTTGCAACAAGAATATTAAAAAGTACATGTAAGACTAATTATACAAATGAACTTATGAAATAGAACCTTTTCACAGGTATGAAGAATAGTAACGTCATAAGTTTCCTGTTTCTTCCTATATAAAAAATTAATAATAAGGTTTCTTGTTTCTAACAAGATTAAGTAGCTCATTATATAAATACATGCTTTGCAATTCAGACTTCACAGATAAATGAGAGCAAGCATCTGCTCTTTGCTTGTACCATAATGAACCGAACATAGTCATTACTAGGGGACTGGAGCATAGATAGACCTACTGTGTGCCGAAGGAAAAACACTTTTAGGGCAATCCCCAAAACACTGATGACGCCATCATGATCCCAACCTGCCGAAGAGATACCTACCTCTGATGCGGCAATTGCTTGCCAAAGCTCTCAACTACATAACCTAAGCCTTGGACATGTGTCGCCACCACAGTGATTTGCACAAAGTCTCACATCCTCCCACTTTCATTTCTCTATAAAAGAGAGAAATAATACCCAAGTAAAAAGGTAACTACTTTTCACCCTTACTGTTATTATGCCAAAATTACCGATTTCCCTATTCTTGCTAACTTAATCATCAGAGAGCCTTCAGCTAGCACTATGCTTATGCCCGAAGCTTGACGATTGTTTATTTTATCCCACCTATGCAGGTCTCCTCCTTGCCGAAGGTTCCCTTATTGAAGGTTCACTCCTACCAACCCCTTGTTGAAGACTCCGCACTTCACCTATCTAAGTTGAATCCAATTTTGGACGTCAACACTCTTCTATCTTGATATATTTCTAGAATTTCCCACGAGTTCCAAACTTTCGTATCATACCTATCAAATCCTAAAGTTTAGGATCATTCGGTATCATGAGGAATTGGAATATATCTCGACCTTCTGCCACCACGGTCGTTGAGCTCACCTCAGGTCAAGACGTTCATAAAGACCATACCTTGATGATGATGGCTTCACCCAAGATGAACTCCTGCACAAGTTATCAGAGATGGAGAAATCTCTGGGCGAGCTATCAGAAATGAAGAAATCTGTAAAAGTATTTCTACTCAGCAAACCCAAGTGGTTGATTTAACGAAATCAATGGTGAAGGAGCTTCGCTTACTAGACAGTAGTTGACCCAAAACAACAGAATTTGACAACAGCCCCAACCATGAGGCCATTATTATTTACCCAAAATTGACCATGGACAGGGAGCCAACATCAATGGCGGCAAATCAGGAGGAAGCTAGATGCGTATATTTATATGTGTTTGGTGATGAGGGTGAATACACTAATGCAATCTATGAGGTGAAATTCAAACATGAAGTGCCAAGAGTTGTTGAACTTGTTGCCAAGTTCTACGAGGGTAGGGATTATTGCTTTGAGGCTGCACGAATTTTCAACTGCTCTATATTATACTGTCGTAAACGGGATGGTGGATATATTATTGACACCAACACTAGGGCAAGATCTTCCTCTGTTCCTCCTACCCTAGCCTCTAAACCAACATTAACTCTCGTGTCTGCGTCTAGCAAACTTTACTGTCTTGTAATTTCATGGTCCTACCCATGGTCCTACAAACCAATTTTGGAGCCCTCCTTCGAGAGGTGCGATCTTGATGAGAACATCTGGGAGCAAATGTCTTATTTTCCATTTTATAATGACTATCACACCTCTATGGAGATAACTGATTATGCCATTTCTTATGGGGTTATTTTTTTTCGTTGTTATGTCGTGACGGAAGTGATGTCGATGTTGTTGCTTTCATGAGAGTAGAAACCAATGGCATCAAGTGAAATTTTATACTCCTCATTATTATGATCCTTTCCCAGAGAGTAGAAACCATAGTCAAGTTTCTGCTGATTATGCTCATTTCCTAGGGAGGGCTTCGGTTGTAGGCAAAACTATCTATGCTTGGATTTTATAACATTCTCCTTTAGGATGGACAAATGTTACAACGGTGGTATTGCATATTCCATAAGTCAACTGTTTATACTGCAAGGCTTGGAGATTGCTCGTATATCATTGCCATTTTATAAATTTCAGACAGACTATTTGGTTCATTTGGGAAATCAAGAATTTTTCCATGTCAAGACTGCTCATAGCGAAGCAATTTTCAAGCTTCAATATCTTTGTATTACCATGTTTCAAATTGTTGTTGGAGAAGGGGGAAGAGATATGATCAAGACCATACATTCTTTTGTTTATTATGTGGATATTAAGAACTTTGAATGGTTCAATTTTGTTTTTTGCTTCACGCCTTAGTGCAGAAATTATGAACCTATAGAAGATGTAAGAGGGTGACTAGTATGAATCATCCAAAACAAGAAGAAACTAGTCATATGAGAATTTGTCTAAAAAAGCTTTCAGAAAGCTTGAAGGAATAGCCTCCAGCAATTATGGGCAAGTCTGCACCTCGTTGTTGTATTAGGAATTGTGAAAATATGAAAATTCAAAAGCCTTTGGATAGCCACCACCTAGAAGAAAAACTTTCCTATAGTTTAGTTTAGGACTTTTCACTACAACAATATTGAGTAATAGTCACTATTATATTGCATCCATTAGCATATAAGTTACAATTGTCCCTTTAAAAAGTCACAATCTCGTTCTTCTGGACGCATAGTTGTCACTCACCCTTGGATTTAACATCGAAGTTTAGAAAAAATAAGTTTAAAAATCAATATATCATCATTTTATTTAAATTTAATATACAATATATTACTTTTACTTAAATAATTTTTTTTAATTAAAAATATAAAAAAGTAGAATCTAAGGTTGAAATTATAGAAACCTTGGGGTCAAAATGTAAATTGTAAAGGTTAGGTTTTGCCTCTGTAAAAGAAACAGCGGCAGCAGAAGGAAGAAGAAAGAAGAAGAAAGAAAAGAAGGAAAAAGAAAGGAGGAAGAAGAAAGAAGGTACCCACTGTGTTCTATCTACTGCATCTGCTGCTTAAAAACAGCAACGTTTTAGATGTATATTTTTTTAATGCTTTAGCTTAACTCACTGAAAATTTGCATCCTTCAAAATTTTCTGCTCTTGCTTCTGGTGCTGGCAGCAATCTATAAACAGCATGCTGCTGTTTCTTCTGGTGTGAATTTTGTTAAATGATCTTAAAGATTAAGGTCATGTTTGCTCATTGATCAAACAAGGAAACCCAAATGAGGCTTTTATCTTTTTGATATCGAACTGTTCCCAATTTGAATCATTTTTAACCCTAACGATTTATAATAGAACAATGAGAAAACAAGAAAATTGCTTTCCGTTTATTGTAATACTTAGAAATCTTGGTAATCTGTTTAATGGGTTGCGTTTGCATATATTTGTTGATGTAGTAATTTTGTGCCTCTTCTGGAATAAAATACATGAGACTGATATTGACGTTTGATTGAGCTCTCATTCCTTTCCCACTCTTTTCTTCTTTAGGTTTCGAAACTCTGCAGATTTTCCGATATGAAGCTGACCGTCGAATTCGGGTACTTAATTTCTTTTCCTAATACTATTTCACAAAATTTTCGAATGGTTCTTTGTTCTTGCAAAGTACAAAAAGAAAAAAAGAAAAGAAAAAGGACAGTATGACAATATGCAATGCAACATTAGAGATATGGCTCTTCTATGGGCCATTCTTAAAATTGACTGAGATTGCCATTGTATTATGCTTGGTTGATGTGGTTTCTTTTTTTATTCTCTATTTTTTACTATGGGCAAACTCTTGTTAAAATTACATGAGTTCCTGTAGACCTAAGTTTGTTCAGAGTCATTTATGATTAGTTTTTAGTACTCTTGATGCTTTTATAAGGTAGTCATAGTTTGAGTTTTGGAATGTTTGCTTTTTTCGTTTTTTGCCTGAAATCATATTTTCTTTATGTAGCGGAGGATTAGAGCTTCTTTGCAACTCTGTAAAGATTCATAATGTCAATGTAGAACTGCAAAACGGAGCAGAAAAGGTAAGTTTGTTAAGGCCAAAAAGAATAATGAAATATGCAGCTGATTTTGTCCTTTTGGTGCTTTCATTTCTATAAGTCAACTCATTTTCATTTGTTTCTTGTCAGTTAACAATGAAGGATTTGCTGTCTTGGATTCGTACCAATTTGATTAAGGAGAGGCCTGAAATGTTTATGAAAGGAGATACTGTGTAAGCTAAATTCCGCTTCAAGTCTTAATTTTGAAGTGAATGTGTGCCTGAGACATGGAATGATAATTTTATATTGCGTATGCGGTTAATGGGTTTTGATGGAAGACATTTATTGAAGGTAAAACATGGTAAGACTACAGGAAAAGGAGAGAGGACTCTTTCAAATGAAAATTTGCTACAAAATCATATAAGTACTTCTGTGAAACATGACCATTATCTTCTTGTTAGATCATGAATTTTGTTCTGTTTTGCAGGAGACCTGGTGTTCTGGCCCTTGTGAACGATTGCGATTGGGAGCTGAGTGGCCAACTTGATACAACACTAGAGGAGAAGGATGTGGTTGTTTTCATTTCAACCTTACATGGTGGATAGTGTGTGGATCTTTGTAATATCTTTAGATTACGAGCAATCATTCGTCTTGGGATTGTAAGAGCTTGACCTTACTGTCCATGTATGTGAACATCACTACTTACTGTTTCCCTATCCAAGCATTTAGGAACGAGCTGGAAGTATATTGATATAAGGTCGACATCATTATGTAGTTGGATTGAGACTGAAGTAGTTCAGTTATATATACTCTTCAGAAGTGGTTTGAAACCACCCTATGGGTTTTGCTGACTTGATCGGTTTAAGGCACTGGCACAGCTTTGTAGACCAGGTAGGGAATCTTCACTTTCCTCAGTCAGAGCTTTTGTGCACATATGAATAGTGAGATAGTGGTGCATCTTAAAGTTCCATGGATTGTGACTCAAATAAGATCATTGAAATGGTATGTGATTCTGTGCTGATGACCAGAGAGTGAAGAATGTGCTAGTGATTACCTTGGGTTTCAATCCCATAAAATACAGAAGGGGTATAATACTTATAAAATACATACGCGTATTATTTGGTAAATTTCTTTAAAATGTACGGTGAAAAATTCGGCCATTATAAAGAAAAAAATTAAATTCTGTTATTTGTAGTTCTTTTTTCAATAATATATGAAAAATACAAATAAAATATGCGGATAGTATGCGTATTGTTGTCAAATTTTGAGGAAAATGTGTATTATTTGTGAAAAATACATCAATACGCGTATAATTTGTGATTAATTAATTTGCATAAAATATGAGTATATTTTTGTATTTTTGGGAACCCCACGGCACCTTAGTATGTGTTTGAAAAAAAACTCCCTCCCCCTTCCTATAAGTACCAAGGAATTCATAAATGATAGAACTTAATGTTCTTGAGTTTGTAAATTTTTTGTTTGACTAATGAATTTAAACACAAACTTTAACTTTTATTATCTTGTGGTAGTGGTGACGCCATCATCTGTGATATTTGTGGTGAGATTGTTAGTGGTAGCTTGGTGGTGGATTGGATTATGATTTTTCCAATCCAATCCTATTAGATCAAAGGTTTAAATTCAATCCAATCCATCAATTAGATCAGATTGAATTAGATGATCGATTTTGATAATGAATTAAGACAATAATAAAATATGAAATATTTTTAGTCAGATTTAATCTAATCAAACATTTTAATATACGTAAATATAAAATATAAATGAAATGCTAGAAAAAATTGCTTTGGTTCTATAATATATTAAACATAACTCCATGACTAAAAATATTTATAACTTTCTCATTCTCAATTACAAATACCTACATGAGCGGAAAAAAAAAAACGTTAAAATTAACTAGAATGAATTGAATTCTCATGAACAAATCCAATCATGTTGATTTTGGAAATTAGAGATTCAATTTAATCTGCCAAATTGTTGAAATTGATTAAAATTGAATTGAATTGAATTGGGCTGAATCGGTTTATTTGGGCTGATTGAATTGGATCCTGTTTACTTTACCGTCTTTTGTCGGTTTTGTTGTAAATACCCTATATAACCTTGCTCTGCGTCTTCTCTTATGACAAATAATTTTTATTTATTTTTAAAATAACCTTGCTCTGGATCTTTTCATCTGGCCGCCGCCACGACACACCAGTCCCCCACACCTGCTGGTCTCCCTCTTCCCTTCACGGCATCTGCAGTGCCCGTTGCCAAATAACCCTTTCTTATTCCCAGCAGCAAGTCCGTTGTTATTTGGGCTTTTGAATCTCACCAATCATTAGTTAATTTTTTCTTTGTTCGGCTGCATCTGTAACTGTGGGTTTTCAGCTTTGGGTGTTTTCTGGAAACTACAGCGACGCATACTTGAGCTCTTGGTCTGAGGTTTGTAGGTTGAGTTTTATTTCTTTTAATTCGATTAATATTCACCTATTTTGCAAGTCTTGATTCAAGTCTGTTAAATCATCGCATACAAAATCATGGAAATTCATTACTCCTTAGACTGATTTATGTGTTAGGTTCTTGAATTGAATTGAGTGATAAAACTTATGGATTTATCTTTTGATTACTTGCATAAATATCTTCCCAAAATTTTGGGTTAGGAACTGGATGATTATAGGGGGAGCTGTTTTTGGAGCTTTTAATTGATTGGTATTTTAAAATTCTTAGCCAATGAAAAAAGAAAAATCCTCTATGTATGTAGAAAACAAAATTTGGGGGTGGGGGAATGGGGAATTTGGGAATCCTTGCAAGCTTCCAATCTGAAGTTGAACACCTCAAACTTTGTCAAAGGATTTTGTGTAAACTGTCCATGAGAACCGTCACGTTGAAACAAATACCTACAATATAGGTGATGCAGGAGCATCTACCCGTCAGCCAATAACCTAAGTTTGAGTTATTTTAAATTGATAAGTTATCATTTGTTTTCCTATTCCAACTAGGATTTGTTTTAATTTCCTGTTTTGGTTTAACTTTCCTTTGTCAATTAGGTTTCCCTTTTATTCTAGGGTTTGATGGCTATTAAGCCTAGTCAAGAGATGTAATAAGGGTCTTTTATCAGTTTTATTCACAAGTTACAGATTATAGAGTTTCCTTTGGGTCCCTATGCCTGAAAACTCAATTATCTTCGTTCCAACTTCTATTCTATAGCTTTATCCTTCTGTTCTCTGTATTTTGGGACCGTTTGGGTCACTGGACAGCAGCTTATAGCCGCTTTTGATGCTATACTTCTTTGTATTGTGCTGATCTGATTGTAATTTAACATCATCTATAGCTGAAGTTAGTTGAGTTTTGTTCCTTTTTTATTTTTATTTTTTTTTATTTTATAAAATTTTTATATCAGATAACTGCTGCAATGGGAAAGAAGAAGACAGAGGAGGCTGGTGCAACCACGAAGGTTAAGTCAACCGGAAAAGATGCGTCTAAAGACGGGAAGAAAGAGAAAGTATCAGTCTCTGCCATGTTGGCCAGCATGGACCAGAAACCTGATAAGCCCAAGAAAGGATCTTCCTCAAGTACAAAGGCGAAAGGTGCTCCAAAGCGTCCATCCTACACTGATGATATTGATCTCCCCCCCTCTGATGAAGAAGATGAATATGTGTTGGAAGAGGGCCAACAAGAAGAAAAGCAGAAGAGGCCAGAATATAAGCCACTTGATGTATCCATAACAGAGAAAGAGTTAAAGAAGCGTGCTCAGAAGGACCTTCTAGCTGCCCATGCTGTTGAGCAGGCTAAGAAGGAGGCCCTTAGAGATGATCATGATGCTTTCACTGTTGTTATTGGAAGCCGGGCATCGGTACTTGATGGTGAAGATGGCGATGCTAATGTCAAGGATATAACAGTAGAAAATTTTTCTGTGTCGGCTCGGGGAAAGGAACTTCTAAAGAACACCTCAGTGAAGATATCACATGGGAAGAGATATGGTTTGGTTGGCCCTAATGGAATGGGCAAGTCTACTCTCTTGAAGCTTCTTGCTTGGAGGAAGATTCCAGTACCAAAAAACATTGATGTGCTTTTGGTTGAACAGGAGGTAGTTGCTGACGATAGAACTGCCCTTGAAGCAGTTGTTTCAGCTAATGAAGAACTTGTCAAAATCCGGAAAGAGGTTGCAGATTTGCAGAATTCAGCTTCTGCTGAGGAAAAGGACAGTTATGATGATGATGTAGAGGGAGAGAAGCTTACTGAATTGTATGAGAAATTGCAGTTAATGGGGTCAGATGCGGCTGAAGCTCAGGCTTCAAAGATTCTTGCTGGGTTGGGGTTCACAAAGGATATGCAAGGCCGTCCAACTAAGTCCTTCAGTGGTGGTTGGAGGATGAGGATTTCATTAGCAAGGGCACTTTTTGTCCAGCCAACACTTTTGTTGCTCGATGAACCCACTAACCATCTCGACTTGAGGGCTGTTCTCTGGTTGGAGGAGTACTTGTGCCGCTGGAAAAAAACTTTGGTTGTCGTCTCACATGACCGGGATTTCCTTAACACAGTTTGCAATGAGATTATTCATCTGCATGATCTGAAACTCCACATCTACCGTGGAAATTTTGATGATTTTGAAACTGGGTATGAGCAACGTCGCAAAGAAGTGAACAAAAAGTTTGAAATTTATGACAAGCAGATGAAAGCTGCTAAAAGGAGTGGAAATCGGGTTCAACAGGAGAAGGTCAGGGATCGAGCAAAGTCTGCAGCAGTTAAGGAAGCATCAAAGAACAGGGGCAAGGGCAAGGTTGATGAAGATGACACACCAGTTGAGGCTCCTAAGAAGTGGAGAGATTACAGTGTGGAGTTCCACTTTCCTGAACCTACCGAGCTTACTCCTCCACTCTTGCAACTTGTTGAAGTCAGCTTCAGTTATCCAAAACGGGAGGATTTCAAGTTGTCAGGTGTTGATGTTGGTATTGATATGGGGACTCGTGTTGCCATTGTTGGACCTAACGGAGCTGGAAAGTCTACTCTGCTCAACCTTCTTGCAGGTGATTTGGTTCCTACGGAGGGTGAAGTACGGAGGAGTCAGAAGTTGAGGATCGGTAGGTATTCACAGCACTTTGTGGATCTCCTGACAATGGGTGAGACCCCAGTTCAGTACCTTCTTCGCCTTCATCCAGAACAAGAGGGACTTAGCAAGCAAGAGGCTGTCCGGGCAAAGCTTGGGAAATATGGACTCCCTAGCCACAACCATCTTACTCCTATTGCAAAATTATCCGGAGGGCAGAAAGCACGAGTTGTCTTCACATCAATATCCATGTCAAGGCCCCACATTTTGCTGTTGGATGAGCCCACAAATCATTTAGATATGCAGAGTATTGATGCCCTGGCTGATGCACTTGATGAATTCACTGGTGGAGTTGTACTGGTGAGTCATGATTCTAGGCTGATATCACGGGTGTGTGACGATGAAGAGAAGAGTGAAATTTGGGTTGTTGAAGAGGGTACTGTGAGGACTTTTCCAGGGACTTTTGAGGAGTACAAGGAGGAGCTACAAAGAGAAATTAAAGCTGAGGTCGATGACTAATAAGGCCAGAGGCTTTTCTTTTTCTTTTTCTCTCTCTTTTTTGTACTGATAGTAAAATTTTGCAGATTCCATGTTTTAAGATTTTCCATGAGTTTGCTTGCTCATGGACTACATCCTACTTACTGATGCATTTTTATTGTTTCTGTCATTTGAGTGTATTATAATCCTACGTTGGTATTAGCTCATTGATGTATTCACTTCAACATTTTATATGTAGTTTTCATTTTTAACAGTGGAGCAATTCCCGTAAATTATTGTATTTCTTTTTAGGGATTTTTTTGGGGGAGTTTGTTCTATACTTGTAGACTTTGATTATAAGGAAAATTCTGTTGAGAAGACAATTACTTTCGAAATTGGAAAAATATTGTAATCTTCTTGTTTATGGTTTGGTTTGCTGTCTGTCTTTGCTGTGTTTAAGGCCAAACGATTGTTAAATTCTAAAAAGTAGCCTCTCGAGTGTGTAATTGTCTTAAATTTCGTATACATTTGGCAGTACTCACATAGATGGCGATAACAATATATACATAGATGGCGATAACAATATATATTTGTGGTGAG